CTGATCCCGGGTGTGCAAGGAGAGGATTTAGCCACTAAGCTATCATGCTGGGCCCTAACAGCTTTATTTAATCTATTTGCAAGTCAGAGATGCACTGAAAGTGGGAGGGAGAGAGAGAGATCTTTCATGTGCTGATTTACTCCTCATGTAGCCACAATGGCCAAGGTTGGGCCAGGCAGTAAGCAGGAAGCCAGGAGACTCTTGTAAGTCTCCCATGTGGGTGCAGAAGCCCAAGCACTTGGGCCATCTCCTACTGCTTTGCTAGGCTGGATCAGAAGCGGAACAGTAGGCCATGAACCTTATATGGGATCTGGGTATCACAGGCAGCAGCTTTATCTGCTCTGTCACAGTGCCGGCCCCAACATCTTTTAATTAATTAATTAATTTAGTTAGTTAGTCAACGTACACTTGCTCTTATTTTCAAACTCTCTTAAAGCCACTGACTACATGAATCAAGATAACAATGTACTATGAGGTTTACGATACACAGGAGTAAAATGTATGACAAATATGGTTTAGAAGCCAAGAAAGAAACATTAAAGTATACTACCATAAAGGTTTTTTTCCCAATTTTTTAAACTTACTAGATTTCCCTTTAAAACATTTAAAAATTTTACTTAAAAATTATTCATTAGGTAGGGGTAGAGAGGGAGAGAGCAAGAGAGATCTTTGATGCCCTGGTTCACTCTTTGAATGACTTTAACAGCCAGGCTCAGCCCAGGCTGAAGCCAGGAGCCAGGAGCCCAACCAGATCTCCCACAGGGGTGGCAGAGATCCAGCTGCCTGAAGCATCACCTGTTGCTTCCCAGGGTGTGGGCTGGTGGGAAAAGTCAACTTGGAACTGAGCATCAGCCAGGTGCTCTGATATGGCAGAGGGGTCTCAACTGACAGGCTCAGTATCTGCCCTTAAAACACATTTGGCGGGCCCGGCGCGGTGGCGCAAGTGGTTAAAGGTCCTCGCCTTGCACGCCCGGGATCCCATATGGGCGCCGGTTCTAATCCAGGCAGCCCTGCTTCCCTTCCAGCTCCCTGCCTGTGGCCTGGGAAAGCAGTCGAGGACGGCCCAAAGCTTTGGGACCCTGCGCCTGCGTGGGAGACCCGGAAGAGTCTCCTGGCTTCGGATCGGCGTAGTATCGACCCGTTGCGGTCACTTGGGGCGTGAATCATTGGATGGAAGATCTTCCTCTCTGTCTCTCCTCTCTGTACATCCGCCTTTCCAATAACAAAATAATAAAAATAAATCTTTTAAAAAAAAACACATTTGGCAAACAATAACTGTATCCATTTATGGAATACAATAGGATATTTCAATGCATACTGAACAACGCAGACCAATGAACACTTCCCTCTCCTTGTCATAACTTAAGACATCTTAACTTCTAAAATACAGCTCAGCAGCTAACTTCTCCCTCAAAAAAAAAAAAGGTTCTGAAAAGGATCAAAAATACTAAACACTAAACTTTAATAGTAGAGTCACAACACTGGGTCTTCTAGTTTCAAGCACTATTACTTATGTACCACTGTATGGGTTAGCTGGCTACTCATTTATTTATGAGAGGTAGAGGGATGAGAGAAGGGCTCTCGTCTGATGGGACCGCTCCTCCAGTTTCCACAACAGCAAGAGACTGAAGCTAAACAAGAGGAAGGCAATCAAAGTGTGGACATGGTGGCAGGGCCACCCCTGCTGCCTGCCAGGGTCCTCATCAGCAGGAAGCTGGAGTCAGGAGCCAGAGGCAGGCAATGCAACAGGCACCTCAGTGTGGGACATGGCCTTGTGGGTTAAACACCCACACTGTCCACTTTGAGAAGTGTAACATGGAAAGACTAAAAACTGTGAATGAGACCAAACAAAACAAACCAAACACCACAAAAATAAGTCTATACACTGCAGCAGTGTTTAGGATACACAGCACACTCACTGATGTTTTGGTTTTAAAGATGTTTAAACAGCAGGACTTAATAAACAGGAAGAGTATACTGTATTTTGTCAAAAACCGAGTGCTGGGATAGACACTGTGGCACGTGGATTAAGTCACCACTTGAGACACCCTATATCCTATAGCAGTGCCTGAAAGTGCCTAGGATTCACTGCTGTTTCTGCACCCGACTTGGTTCCTAATACAAGATGGTCCAAGTGCTTCACTTTCTACCACCCATGTGCAAGACCTGTGGAAGGAGTTCCTGCCTCCCGAGCTCAGCTCAGCCCACTCTTGTCTGTCGAAGGCATCTGAGGAATAAACTAACAGATGGAAGAAATTGCGTGTGTTCTCTCTTGCTCTGCCATATGGAACTGGCTTGCGTCCTGGCTGCTTCACTTCTGAACCAGCTTCCTGCTTATGGCCTAGGAAAGCAGCAGAAAATGGCCCAAGTCCTTGGGATCCTGCACCCACTTGGGAGACCCAGGGGAAGCTTCTGGCTCCTGGCTTCAGATTGGCTCAGCTCAGCTCTGGACACTGCCAGCCATTTGGGGAGTGAACCAGCAGATGGAAGATCTTCCTCTCTGTCTCTCCTCTCTGATAAAAATACATGAATCTTAAAAAAAAAAAAAAAAGATTAAACAATTCTCAAAAGAAAATCCATCTGTGCATAGAGATGTGAAGGTGCACATTCAATGTTACTTCAAAAGAACAAAAATTCCAGATCTGAGTTACTTTAACTGTCAAGAAAGTAAACAGGGAAGACACAGTTGCTAAGCCTAAAGGCTTGCTTTTCCTCCCTTAATAATAATAACAACAACAACAAAGTTCTCTTTTAATCTTAGTCTTCATCCAAATTTTAGCTGTTACTTAGAGTAACAGTTTGACAAGTCCTCACTTTTTTTAAGAGTTGAAAGAAAAAAGTCAAACCCAGAGTTTCTTTGTATTCTGGACATAGAGATCCCTTCTCTTTTCTGCATGATGACATGGCAGGGCAGAGCCAGCCCCGAGCTGGAAGGCGGGCCCTCTGCAGAGCCCAAGCAGGCCAGTGCCTCACCTCACATGCTTGCTGTTGCCTGGAAGCTGCCCAAGTTCATGGCACTTTGCTATCACAGACTAAGCACTAAAACACAATCTAAGAGTATAAAACCCTAGAAAAACAATTTTCTATTTTTATTTTATAGTAAAAAAAAAAAAAAGATGTGAAGACAGTGTTATTCTCAAAGCAGTGACTTTCAAGTTTTTATCTCGGAATTGTGACCTTGTTAATCCAAAATTCCAACACATCTTCAATTTCTTAACTGTTTCCATTTAAATATGTTGTCAACCAAACACTGGATCAAACAGGAAAATACAGCAGCCTGCACATTTTACAAATTAGACTAGCTGCCTATTTTGGTTTTCTAACCCCAGTCCTTCAAAATCAGCAAATTTTTTCATTTCTGCTGTTACAACACTGACACTAATTCAGACTGTTAACCCATTTATTTAATGCATAAGGATCGATGTCCCACCATGTCAGTGTATTTATCTGCTAATCTGTACTCTGCCTTCCTTTAGCACTGCACTGTGCGGTGACAGGGTAGCATGTCAAAACTGCTTTAAAAGGTAATTTTCTGCTCAGGAAATGGATGCTAAAGGCTGTGCCTGCTCATTTGAACAATGCTGGGCAATCTGATACCTCAGTGAGGTCTCCTTTATAGCCACTATAATGTTTTCTGGTGAGTAATTTCATTCACCGGAGCTTGAAACAATGTGATTCATGCTGGACTTGGTAGGTCTCAAAGAAATACACTACTCTCAGGTTTTATGGTAGACATAAATGTTTCTAAAAAAATACTAAGGAAAAAGCAGAAAGCAATTTAACAAAGCCTTTTAATATTATGAAGAATATAAACATTACTATTTCCCTGGAGAAGAGAAAAATAACTTTTAGAGGACAACTAGGAAGCAAGTAGGTTGAAGCCCACTCATGACCTGATGATATGAATGCACAGGGGTGAGACTAGCAGTGCACAGCACCCCACCTTCAGCAATCACCCGTGGGAACCCATCCTCACCTGGCTATCCCTATTCCTGTACGGGGCTTGCTACCGGCTCTCTCATTTCCAGAACTGCAACCTCCCCCCACAAAAGTGAGGTCATGTGTCTAGAAAATACATCAAGTACAGAAACCTTGTCTCTACCTAAAAACTCAGGAGCCTGCTGTATGAATTTATCTCCCAGTGAAATTGAAGGCAGCCCCATTCAGCCCTCACTGTTCTTGTCCTTGTATGTGTCTGCGTCACGTGAAAACAAGATGGGAAATTGATTGCTTAGCTTATTGCGTCTATACTACGCTAGCTGCAGCCCTAAACTGGGTCCTTAGTCACACCTTACTCATCAGTTACTAGGAACAATGCTGTAGTTGTCTTTCTGAAACCTGTAGCTACCAACAATAAACAGATGTCAATAAAGTTGGTGCTTTGGCTCAACAGGCTGATCCTCCATCTTCAACTGCTGGCATTGCATATGGGCACCAATTCCTGTCCCGCTGGCTCCACTTCCAATCCAGCTCCCTGCTTATATCATGGGAAAGCAGGTTCTTGAGGACCCTGTACCCATGCGGAAAACCCAGAAGAAGCTCCTGGCTCCTGGCCTCAGACCAGCCCATCTCTGGCTGCGGAAGCCATTTGGCCATTGGGTCAGCAGATAGAATATCTTCCCTCTCCCCTCCCCTCGTTCCTTCTCTCTGTAAATTTATCTCTGAAATAAAAGCAAAGAAATCTGAAGAGAGAGATTTCATAAATGTTTAGCAGACTCTATCATTATCTAACTTTTTGAAAAACTTGCCATTAATCTGAAAATCAATGGTTGAACTTTAAAGTCATTATTTTGTTTGTTTTAACCACTTGTTAGATGGAAAAGACTAGGACAGAGCAGTTGATGACTTTTATAACAGAAAGCTAAAAATGAAACATTAATTAGAAATGAAATTGCTTCTTGCAATATTATCAAAGAATTATTAGGCACACGAAATGTTCTACTCATCTCTCTACAGTGACTTTAAAGTCTACAGAAACATCTCAGAAGGTAAATATTTACCTTATTTTCTTCCAGGAATTTCAACTTTACAGAAACATCATTACGCATTTTGTCATATTTTTCCTTATGTATTTGGAACAAATGCTGCGACTGTTCAATCTTTGGCAGAGTGTTTGCATCACGTGGTCCAAGATTCAGTTCTTCCAGATCAGTACGATACGCATCATACTCAATCCTGCAAAGAAGAGGACAAGTGAAGCATGGTGCCCAGTGAAACAGCTGTAGGAGATGGGCCGAAAACACATCAAACTGAGTCTCACATAAAATACACACATTTCTCATATGCTTTTTATACTATGTTCTGGTAATCGTATCTTTAAATCAAAGAGCTGTGAATGATGGAAGGAGGGCAGAATGACTTAATGACTCTTCCTTCGTGATAGTGTCCTCAGGAAGACGATAAAAAACATGAATTATCGATTTTAAAAATTCTTGCTCATTTTCCCAAAATTTTTGACATTTCCCTGTATACTTCTGGGTTTTCTTTCATAGGTCTTGGCTCATAATTCCCGTGGGGGCAGTCAGGAGAATTAACCTTTCTCTTCCATCAAGCCAAGGAACAGTAATCTCAGCTCTTTCCACTGTTCAGTCTTAAAAGCTGCCTTTAAACACACTCTCTGATCTACCCTTGTCTAACGTGGTCAGAGAGGCTGCGCATTCCAGAGGCCGGAATCTTACCTCCTGCCTGAAGGGAGGAGCACTGTGTGGAGGCCAAGAATAACACTGCAGCACGTATACTTGGCTGGGTTTCCCTGTCCCACACGTCAGCATTCGATATTGTATTTGTCCAATTACATTTTGACATGATGACCCATGGTTCCATCATGCCCACGGAACGAAGTGTCCACAGAAACCCAGAAAGAGGGTTGAAAGAACTTCCAGATGAATACGTGAGGATTCCCAGGGGTAGTGTGTCCACCGAAGGCATGGAAGCTCCAGGCCCCTTGCCCCATACCTTGCCCTACATTCTCTACAACATCATCTGTTAAAAAACAAAAATCAGTAAACCTGTTCCCGTGAATCCTCTGAGCCCTCTGAGCAAATGATCCAACTAAGGAGGGGTTACTGAAGATGCTGCTTATAGGTGGGACTCTGACTGGCATCTCAAAGTGTGGAAAGCAGACTGTGCCAGGGACTGAGCCCTCCATGAATACAGTGTCAGAATGGGACAGAACTGGAGGATACCCAGCTGGTGGCCACTGCGGAAGCACTTGCTTTCTCGTTATTCTGTGTGGGGGAATCCTCCTCCCCCACCAGCACAAACCTGATGTGCTTGTATAGTTGGAGAAACTGAGTCTTTTTTTTTTTTTTTCTGTCTACATGCTTAAAAGTACAGCAGTAGCCAACAAGTAAAACTTGCAAAATTTAAAAACCACTTTAAAAAGATGGACACCAAGACATATCAAAACAAGACCAATGCTTCTAAGGCCTTGGTTAGTACTGATCAAAGCAAGTGAGGAGAGCAGATCTCTGCATGGCGTAATGGAAGTCAGGGGACAAGGCAGTCACACTGAGGATTGGCAGAACTCGAAGCATGGTCTAAGTCAGCAGTGCAGGACAGAAACAAAGGTGAGCTGAGCACACAGGTAGCACTTCTTGGATCGATGTTACAATAATTAGAGTCATTTCACCTTTCAAAAATGTTATTTAACTCAACATATCTAAAATATTACTTCACATTTCACTTTTTTTTAAAACATGGCAGGCATCAAGTCTTTGAAATCCATTGTATATTGTGTACTTATATTTTATCTCAACATATACTAGGGACATTTAAAGTACTGAACAGGCACATGTTAGTACTGTATGTGACAGCATCCCTGAGGATATATTTCTATAATAATAAGATTCACTGTATTTATTACAGAACATTTACCACCTTAAGACTCCTGTGATGTTTCGTTACTAGCTGAAATAGAAAACATACAACAGTCACTCCATGACCCCACAGTAGCTCTCAGCACATCAGTCAGAGCATAACATAGCACAGTATTAATCTGCTTACTCAACAGTGAGTTATCCAGTAGCCTCAACTGGATTCAATGAAGAACCAAAGTGAGCTCTACTTGCCCCAAACTCAGAAACACAAAACTAATGCCCTAAAAACTAAGGTTCTTTCTTCAGTTTTCTATAGTATGATTCATACCTCCTACTCTGAGGATTAAAAGTACTTGTTAATAAAACAAATTATACTGTATAAAGGATTTCAGTCCCTTAACACTGTGCCTAATTTATTCTTAACTAGCATTGAATTGAACAAATCCGATCTTTTCAGGACCAAAAGAGGATCATTCATTCACTTACTGACACATGGATTCCTCTCTCAATTATCAAATACTCAGTTCTTACATTCCCTGTACCAAGCTAGAAAACAGAGCTATGAAGACGGGCAGATAAGTTCACCTCCAAGAAGCTGTCAGAAAAGAGAAGGAGGATGTGAATGAGTGCAATACAACAATATAATACAAACTACCAAGGAGGGGGAGGTGGCACAGAAATTCAAAGGGACAAATACCTAGTCAGGTTTCTGAAAAGGCAACTGAATATATTTAAAACACTATAATTATACACTGAAGGACAGTGAAATTATACTGGCTAGATCAGGGCAAAAGAAATCAGTAACATATTCCAAGGAGAGAACAGCGGAACTGCACAGGCAATGGCTCAGATTTGCAAGATGCTGTGGCACATTTGAGACTTGGTAAGGTATGTAAGAACCCAAAGTTAGAACACAATTATGGAAGGAATCACAGATGGGTAGACAGGATTGAGATGTGGCAGCCCTACAGGCCCCATAAAAGGATAGAAGCTTAATCCATTGGGGCAGATGATGGGAAGCTACTAAAGACGATTGATCCAAAAAACTGAAAGTGGCATGATTCTATTTGTTCAGTATAGTAAAGATGATTTTAGCAGTACCACAAGGAATAGAGGATGGTCTGGGGTAGATGTAGCCATCAGAAAGGAGTTCAATTAGAAGATCATGAACACTGCTGTTTTCCCAGGCCATAAACAGGAAGTTGAATGGGAAGTAGAGCAGCCGGGACATGAAACTGGCACCCAAATAGGATGCTGGTGCTTGCAAGGTGAAGATTTAGCCACTGAGCCACTGCGCCAGGCTCCCATTTTTTCTTCTATAAAATCCTTTCAGATATTTAAAATGTTTGTGGAAAATGGAGCTTAAAGTTTATTTTGCTACCAAAAAGCAAACAAACAAGAAAACCCACTTGAAAATTCACACACAGTTTTCTAATACATCTTCCACAAATTTTTGAAATTCTTTGTATAAAGCACCAAGGACATGAGTAACAGCTAATGCCTTCAGAATGCTTATTATTATAAACTAGAAGAGCAGTGGCTTAAAGCAAGCATAGTAAAACTGATAGGGAAAAAAGCAAAATTAAAATAAGTAGTAATGTATGGTGATTTAATCTAAGGTCAAACATACTAATAACCTTGGAGCATATTTCTAAATAAAAGTGATTAGCTTAAACATAATCAAAGTTACAATACTGACCTTACATATTTAAATTTCTACAACCAACGATTTGTAGTTGGTATCAAAGTAAAACTTTCCGTAAGAGTTTTTCTAGCACTGTGTGTTACTGCCCAGAAGAGATGCACACTACATTTCAATACACAACTCTCCACTTTAAGATTACTAATCCCAACCAAAGCTATGTCTCAGCAAAGTTAGTGAGTTACTTCATGGTTTATGGGGAATTTCTGGAGAACAGGTGTCCCCAACTGCCAAGTCTTGACAACAATCGACTCCCTTGTTGGCACTACTGTGGAGAAGCACTGAATGGGCCATTACAAGATTTTCTATACATGAAGCACCAGAGGGCTAGGAAATGCTTGTATACAATGCATAATAGGGAGCATTAAAAGGCCACCCCAGCATTTGCCTAAACTGCCACTTTCTGTGCTGATCAAATAGATGACCCTTGCCCTAAAAGTCACGAAGTTCTGGTTTTGACAGAGAAGAAAATTGAACTACTAAGAAACTTCTTCTTGGATTCTTTTTATGAACATTATTTCACAGGCAGCAATGTTTCAAAGAGTTACACCAGCCATACTTGGGAATACAAAAGTCAAGTCATAAGTTTAATGGATAAATTCATATATTGCAACTTAAATAACCAAAGTTGTCTTGAAGACATAAGAAATTAACTACCATGTATTGATCATGATTTATAATTTTGTTCCAAAGTCCCAAGCAAATTATACTGGACAAATTCAGATCCTATTTAACATTATATTTTAAGGTAACTGTTTCATTACAAGATGATTTTAGGAACATTATTTTTCAGAAATTAGGTGTAAATTTTTTGATTGGTTATTAACACCTACAGGGAGCTGGTGGATTCTCATCTTGGCTCTGAAAATGATAAGCAAACTAGCCAACCTCTGGAACTTTACTTGCTTCTTCTGAAACTGAATATAAGACGTTTTGCATACAAATAGTGCCTATCTGATAAGTCTGACTTTACCATGGGTTAACATTTTAAAAAAATATTTCAGAAATACCCGCTGAAGGGCAAGGTTCTGAAGGAGGGATAAGGTTAGGTAATTAAAATACACTTCAGGATTGGTAGACAATCACAAAATGGAGGCAAACTAGACACACCAAGTTCTCAACTGGGTCACTTATAGAACCAGGAACTTTCCATGTCCAAAATATTTAACAATCAAAAGATTAGAAAATAAACGATTAAGGTGATAAAAGGAAGTGTAAACCCTTACACACATTAGCACATCATGAAGAAGGGACTGATTTCAACAAGAATCAAACAGAACATATATATAAATGAAATTATTCATTCAAACAATATCTGGCAAATAATTTATGCTTCTGAATGTTATTAAAAGGATTCACACTGAAGGATAGCCTATTAAAACATCTGTTTACTTCCTTTTCCCCCCTACTTTTTGATTTTCATGTTAGTAAATAATTAAACAACACTGAAGTCAAAACATACACATCAATAAGCCCAAAGCACTGTCCTGCTCGATCCCAGGAGATAAGCTCAGTTGTTTGTCTTGATCTTCATTTCCTGGTCATTAAGGATTTCATACATTCAAATGGCAAACTTTAAACACAGCATGAGGTGAAGGCATTTCTTACCGTGAAAAGATCAAAAATGAACAACTCCAAATGTTTGGTTTTTACTTAAGGCATGAGGAAGTACGTAGCTATGAACAAGCACTCACATGCAAAAAGACTAATTAGATGACTCTGGAGCTTTCGTAGGCATTGATCACATCATCCATCTTAGACAAGAGGTCAAAACATAAAATTATCCTTCCAAAGGTAAAGTTTGTACCAATCTTCAATTATGCTTCAGAAAGCATTAAAAACAATAATTTAATAAGTGTTCACAAGAAAAAATAAGCTTATAGGGGACTGGACTAATATTGAAATACAGTGGTAGGGTTATACAGGGGAAAAAAAAATATATTGGACCTAAAATCAAAAGTTGACAACGCTCCCTCAAGTTTGCTACTTCTTATATATTTTTAATTTTTTAATAACATATTTGTTCACCTAGCAAAATGGCTATTAAAAGATAGAAAAAAGATTTATATATCTTAAACAGAATGTAAATGAACACTGTATTATAAAATTACCAAAATATAAGGCAAACAATTTATGTAAAAGGTAAAATTTTAAAGGATTTGAAGCCTGGTTAAAATCTGGGTAAATGAAAAAGTCAGGGCAGCTGGTATTCAGAGGAAACAAAACCCTGGAAGCCGAAATGAGCTCATGCACTCAGGAGATACTGAAGGACAGGTTTGGCCACTGTACAAGCAGTGTGACTGCATACCCAGGGAACTGTGTACACTTTGGCCAGAGCACTGAGGGTCATCTAGTGTCTGGCAGGGATGATGCAGGCCCTTATCCCAAGAAGCCGGAGCTGGAAGGTCCTCATTTTCCTATTCACCAAAAGGCAGGGACTGGGCACATGACCAGGGTTCAACTGGAAACTCTCAATGAAGCAAGCACTCAAGGGGATTCGGGAAATTACTAAAGGTAGCTGAGGCAGCAAGAGCCAAAGGCATCCAGCACTGGAGCTTTTCCAAGGCATTCGTTGGCTTTGGTTCTTGCATGTTTCCAGAATCATGCTCTCTTCCCTTTCTGTTAGCTTCATGGGCAGTCCTATAACCTTCCATACATCTTTTTTTTTTTTTTTTCTGCTAAGCTGGACAGAGCTGGGGTCTGAAAACCTTAACTTATGTGTCATCTTTAAAATAGACGACGCAGTGAAAATCATTACTCACCTGGCACTTTCATATTGTTTTACGGTCATCAACGTATCTTCAATTGTTTTATTCACCAAAGTGTTCACACTGGCAATGAAAAAATTAATAGCTCCAAGAAGTGTCTCTCCATTCTTAGCTAGAAGCTTCTGTGTATCTGCATTATAGCCAAATTCTTCCTAAAACAGAAAAGTCACCTTAATGTACTAAATAAATAATTATAAATTAGTAAGCATGACTTTACAATATCCTGAATAGATTGCTATGGGGAAAGAATCAGATTTATAAATTTAGTTATACAAGTTTTACTTTTTTCCTCACTCTTTAAACATTTAGGAATCTTAATCACAGCTAGCTATACAATTATAAAAACTTTTAGCAAATGAAAGTCATCAACAGTTTAGATATATAGCTAAAATCTAAATTTTTAAAAGCTAAACTACTTTGTACTGGAAAGAATATTTTCAATTCTACATTGTTTTACCATACTATAAGCACAGCTGTTAAAAAGAAAATATAGCAGATTATTAATCAGAGAAACTATAACTTTCACAACCAAATTAGGTAACAATTGGTTAAAGTTCCAGACATGGAGTAGACTGCAGTTTTTGGTGTTTTGACTGAATCTCCTCAGAATATAAATATTAACAATATGTATTTCTTTGGAAATCTGATGACCAATTGATTCTCTAGTTCGGGTTTTGCTAGAAACAGGGCCGAGGGAAGGATCATTCAACACCGTATCTAGTTTATTCTCTTGGAAAAAACTGTACCTTGGCTTGGCTAACATGACACAGAACTCAGATCTGGCCAAGAACTAACCTCAGGGCTCAGCAGTGAAAGCTGAACTCAAGTTTTATTGATTAATGGAATAATCAGAAACACATCTGACCACATTTTAAAAACTGCCATATTTTACGAAGTGTCAATTTGGGAATTCTAGTATGTTGTCAAACGTTTTCAACTGAAGATAAAAACAAGATGCAATGCTAAATTAGAATCCCAGAAGATGGAAATTTAATGCTAGAGACACAGCTACAAGTACATTTCAAGGTGACAAAGTATTCAGTAGTTCAGTAGACAACACAAAAATAGAACTACTTTCACTGCTAAAAATGTTTTTTTATTTGAGAGGTCCATCTAGCTCTATTCTAGTCAGTCATCAAAATTTTATACACTGTGACTGCAAATACTGCAGCTAAGCATAACATGAAAATAACACCTATCAATTCACTTTAAAACAAAAATGAGGGGCAGCTGTAGTAGCACAGCATACTGCCACTACCTGCAATATCAGCATTCATATAGGCACCTGTTCACATCCTGGCTGCTCCACTTCTGATCTAGCTCTCTAACACCACGCCCAGAAAAGCAGCAGAGAATAGTTCAAGTGCTTTAGCCTCTGCACCCACATGGGAGATCTAGAAAAAGATCCTGGCTCCAGCATGGGCCATCTCCAGGGGCTGCAGCCATCTGGGATGAACCAGAGACTGGAAGATCTTTGTCTCTCTCTTCTTCTCTGCAACTATGCCTTTCAACTAATCAAAAAAAAAAAAAAAAAAGCAGAAGGACATCTGTAGATGTCTGGTATCATGTTTCTACAAGCTAACTCACCCACTGCAGTCTAGATAAACACTACTAGCAAAAAATACAAGAGAAGATAACTTCATAACTTTATATAAATCCAGTAGTTGATCAAAAAGAAGCCTATATATGTTTAACAAATATATAATATCATATTCTTATAGCAATGCATTCATTTCTTCTTTTTTTAGATTTATTTTATTTTTATTGGAAAGGTAGATATACAGAGAGGAGAGACAGAGAAGAAGATCTTCCTCCAATGATCCACTCCCCAAGTGAGCGCAACGGGCCGATACTATGCCGATCCGAAGCCAGGAGCCTCTTCCAGGTCTCCTGCACAGGTGCAGGGTCCCAAAGCTTTGGGCTGTCCTCGACTGCTTTCCCGGGCCACAAGCAGGGGGCTGGATTTTGGGAAGTGGAGCTGCCGGGACCAGAACCAGCACCCATATGGGATCCTGGCTGTGCAAGGCGAGGACCTTAACCACTGTGCCATTGCGCCGGGCCAAATGCATTCATTTCTAAAAGTTCTCAACACCTACTTTGAAAATGCAAAAGAAACCCTAATTTAATCACAGGAAAATATGTATTTCCTAGAAGCTTCAGGTTGTTTTCACAAAAGCACACAGAAGGGGCGAGCATAGTGGCACAGCTGTCTAGTCTTTCTTCACTTGGAGTGTTGTCATTCCATTGGGGGCTGGTTCAAGACCCCGCTGCTCTGCTTTGGATCCAGCCCTCTGCTTGTGGCCTGGGAAAGCAGTGGAGGATGGCCAAATCCTTGGCACCCTGCACTCATGTAGGAGACCTGGGAAAAGTTCCTGGCGCCCAGCTTTCCACTGGCACAGCTTGGGTGGCCATGGCCATTTCAGGAGTAATCCAGCTGTGGCTTTGCTATCTCCAGATGCTTTTTTTTTAAGGACACCAAGGGGGCTAAATCATCCAATATTCGGCAAATGGATGACTGGAGCGCTCCCTCCCTCTCTTCTTCTTTCCTCTTTTTCTCTTACTCTCCTTCCTCCCCATCTTTTCTCTCTGTAACTCTTTCAAGCAAAATAATCTTTCAAAAAACACAACTGAAGTACAATAGATGAAAAACAGAAAAAAAAAATTTAAGATTTTTTAAAATTTATTTTTATTGGATAGACGGATAGACAGAGAGGAGGAGAGACAGAGAGGAATTTCTTCCCTCCGATGATTCACTCCCCAAGTGGCTGCAATGGCCGAAGCTGAGCCAATCTGAAGCCAGGAGCCTGGATCTTCTTCTGGGTCTCCCACACAGGTGCAGGGTCCCAAGGCTTTGGGCTGTCCTCAACTGTTTTACCAGGTCACAAACAGGGAGCTGGATGGGGAGCAGTGCTGCCAGGTTTAGAATCAGCGCCCATATTGGATCCTGGTGTGTTCAAGGCAAGGACTTAAGCCACTAGGCCACCACGCTGGGCCCAGATTCAGTCTTTAGTTGATGTTAATAATTTCAACATTCTCATAATTAGAAATCACCCTAGCAACCACAAAGAATATTCATCAATGTGTTCATATTAAGGGTAGAGTTGAAGTTCCAACCTGCTACTGAAGATGGAAGGTCAATACAACTCCCTGATTCAAAATTTGGTTGGTAAAACAGCACAGTATTACAATAAAAACCATATTTGGACCAAAAGAACAGAAATCAGGACTCAGAAATAAGTAATGCACCAACAGTGAACTGATCTTTGAGGAAGGTACCAAGAACACATATATGACAGACCAGTCTCCTCAACAAATGCTGGAGGCATGTGGTACAGTGTGTTAAGCTGCTGTTTGCAATGCCAACATCCCCTATCAGAGCTCTGGTTTTGAGTCCCAGCTCCTCTGTCTGCTATCCACTCCTTACTGTAAACAGCTGGGAAAGCATCTTGGATGGAGTTCCAGACTCCAGGCCTCGGCCTGGCCCTGCCTTGGCTGTTGTGACCATTTTGGGGGTAAACTAGCAATGCAAGTTCTCTCTCGTTTTTCTCAATCTCACCTTTGGTCACTCTAGCATCCAAATAAAGTAACTAATAAAGCATAACAACAATGGTGCTGGGAAGACTGGATATTCAAACGCAGAATGATGAGCCCTATCTTTCGTCATATAAAAAGTCATATCAAAATGGATCAAAGATCTAAAGTGAAGAACTGAACCCATGAAACCCAAGGAAATTATAAACGAAACACTTCAAGACATGGAATAGGCAGCTACTTTTGGGTAACATTCCCAAAGCACAGGAAACACAAAAAATGATCCGTGGTATTACAAAATGCAAAGCTTCTGACAGCAAAGGAAACAGTAAAGAGATGATCTACAGGCTGAGAGAAAAGGTGGTAATTGTGAATGAATAAACAGAAGGAATACAGTAAGAAACTCAAACAACTCAGCCGCAAAAAGTAGGCCAATGACTTGGTTCGACATTTCTCAAAAAAGATAAATCAAAATGAAACATAACAAAGCAAGAAAACTTTAACACTGGCCCAGCTGGTCTGGCTGTCTCCTGAACTTCCAACTAAGGAGGCATCAGATGACGCCCCAGGGGTTCCAGGTGTCTGCTGCTCACAGAGGAGACCCACCAGGCATGCTGGGTTCCTAGCTGTGGCCTGGTACAAGGTTTGTTATTGTAGGCATTTGGGGAGTGAATCAGCAGATGGAGCATTTCTCATTCACTGCCACTCTTTTTCAAGTAAACACAAACCTTTAAGAAAACGGCTGATAATGCACAAAAAGTGGAATTCTTACACACTGAGAGTAGGAATATAAATTAGAGCAATTAAATAGTGAGAACAGTATGATGAAGGCTTCTCAAAAAACTAAAACTATTATATGAGGGCCCAGCACAGCAGCCTACTGGCTAAATCCTCACCTTCTATCTGCCAGGATCCCATATGTACAATGGTTCGCATCACGGATGTTCCACTTCCCATCCAGCTCTCTGCTTGTGGCCTGAGAAGGCAGCACAGGATGACTCAAAGCCTTGGGACCCTACACCCATGCGGGAGACTCGGAAGAGACTCCTGGCTCCTGACTTCCTATCAGCTCAGCTCTGGTAATTGCAGTCATTTGGGGAGTGAACCACTGGACAAAGATCTTTCTCTCTGTATCTCTTTCTCTCTGTATATCTGCCTTTTCAATAATTAAAAAAAAAAAAAAAAAAAAAAACCTTGGGCCTGGCGCAATGGCACAGTGGTTAAGGTCCTCGCCTGGAACTCCCAGGATCCCATATGGGCGCTGGTTCTAATCCCGGCAGCCCCGCTTCCCATCCAGCTCCCTGCCTGTGGCCCGGGAAAGCAGTCAAGGATGGCCCAAAGCTTTGGGACCCTGCACCCGTGCAGGAGACCTGGAAGAGGCTCCTGGCTTCAGATCGGCATAGTATCGGCCCGTTGCGCTCACTTGGGGAGTGGATCATTGGAGGAAGATCTTCTTCTCTGTCTCTCCTCTCTGTATATCCACCTTTCCAATAAAAATAAAATAAATCTTAAAAAAAGAGAAAAAAACCCTTTATTTAAGAAACTATCACATAATCTATAATCCATGACTGGGTATGCATTCAAAGGAAACGAAATCAAGGAGTCACAGAAATCTGAACTC